GTTTAGAACTATGTTATTTCGCTTATTAGAATCTTTTTCTTTTGGCTATTAGATTAGATTTCTTTGGTTGTTTTTAGCTTTTCTTGGAAATAGTTTGTTTGGAGACCTTTATATCTTATTTGAGGTTATATTCAATTTCGTTATGGAAGATTTTATTTTGTATTGGAGACTATATTTTGGAGGTTTTATATAGCGTTTCGTTACGTTTTGAAGTAACCTCCCTTCCTTCGGAATGGGAGTGTTACAACCTATGACTTCTAAACTTCATTATTTGAACTCTCCATGTTCATGATTTTGAAGAAATAAGTAAGGTTACTAAAGGGATTTTGATCTAGCGATATTGTAGTTCTTAGCCTTTTAGGAAGTCCGAGGTTCAAACCTTACCAAAAGTAAGGAGGAAATGTGAGTTTATTTGTTACATTTACCATATACAAGTATTATGTACTTCAAAAAAAAAAAGGTCGCGTCTGAGGGTGTTCCAACTTGAGATATAAAATAGGAACATCAAAGTCTTTAAAATAGACAAAGCTGTAATCTACCATAATATTAATAAAAGAGTGAATTACGTTTTTCATCAATGTGGCTTGTTAAAAATTATAACTTCCGTCCCTATTGTTTAGAAATTATAGTTGTCGTCATTATTGTTTTCGTTTTTATGATTTACAATTTATTGTTGTTTTGGTCCTAGCAGTTTATAATTTTTTACTGTTTTGCTCCCTTGTAATTTACAGGAATGAAAATAACAATAAATTCTAAACCATAAAGATGTAAATTAAAATTTCAAAACCATAGAGACGAATATCAAAGTTATTAACAAATTACAGGGACCAAATTTGTAATTTACTCAAAATAAAGTAACAATTTGAATAATTAAACGAATTCTGCAAACCCGCCATATGTCCCCTCGTCCCTCCCAAAACACACATGCACACACTCATCGTCTTCTCTCAAGTCTCAACGATCCTCTCAATAATCACACTCGCACACACAATCGCCTTCTGCCATGGAAGAGGTCGATGAAACGGAAGCTGTTCCTCAGGTGCGTTCAACTTCACATATTCATCCTACTCTTAATCAGTACATTTTTCATCCGATCTGGTGATTATGTTACTTGAAAGCTAGTTTTTACACGTTCGTTTATCTTCTCATTGTTTCCTGATTTGTAGTTTCTTCTTATCGTTTAATTGATTGTTTGCGCCTCGTAATTTCAATTTAGGCATCATCTGTGATTGTGGTTTCTTAATTAAGCGACTGCGCATACTATATCATCTGTGATTGTGATTGTGGTATCTCGGATATTGCAACTTATTGTTGCAATTAATTATTTAGTAGAATAATCTGACGAATCCAGTGAAAGAAGAAGATGAGAGAAACAGAGGATTAATAGAGAGCGATAGGTATACTCCCTTAAACGGTATGTAATGCCTTCCCATGTGGATGATGCTACTCCACCTTTTTAACAAACTTTGGGGAAAAAGGAGAACATAAATTAGATACTTAGATAGTCAAGGACTGAAATGTTGTTGCTTAACCTTGGCCTTTCCCTCCAAAAACTAATTTAATTGCGGTTTCTTACTTTCCCATTGATGTTGATCAATGATTAAAACTGGGAAGGTGTGTGGGAGTTGATAGTCGACCAATTTTCCCATTGATGTCTGTTAGTCAACACATTTTTCTATACGTAAACTTGTTCTATAAACCATGAACATCAAAATAGGCTTTGGGCTTTATAACTAGCGGCTAAAAATTTCAGAAATCAATTTCGTTTGCCAAAAACTCAACAATTGCCAAGCGTCACTTTTTTGAAGGCTTACTCTTTTTAAAAAACGTAAACAAGATGCGGTAGCATTGTCAAACAATGCCCGAATTGTATATCACATAATGGAACTTATGGTAGTTGTTTAATCATGTCAATGTTAAAATCTGATCCAAAGAGTAAAGCAATGTTGGATTTCTATGGTACTAAGTGGGTCCATAAAAGTGATTTTTGCTTATCGTAGAATTTCATGATACAGTATGCGTGAATTTATTTGGTATTAATATGGCTTATTTATGCAGATATACATGGCATGCCTCATGCATGGTCATAGGTAAGCTTCTTATGAACAACCATTAGTAGTTGGTAATCCTATTGCAGTGGTATGCATGGTTAACTATGGTGATGTAAGACAAAGCAATCTAGGATAACTATTATTATATTGCATTTAGTTACCAGGAATAAGAATCAATTTATTATCATGCTTGAATTGCAGTGAACATAAGAATTTAAACTTATAATTATATTGTAGGCTGCAGCCAAACCTTCTTTTTAAATATTGTGTAGTAATGTCTAATCGAGCTAACTCATTATGAAAATTATGTTGTCCAGAGTTGGAATTTCTTATTATGATAGTCTTACATGTGAACTCCATGTCCTGGAACTTTGGGAAGACGGTACTGCGGAGTTTCCTCTAATTGATATGGGTAAAATATTATTTTACTTTTCCTCTTACTTACATTATTTAATCCAAGTTGTAGCCAATTTCATTAACTCATCAACAAAATTTGGAGAAACTAAATTTTCGAGTTTGGAGAGGGTGTGACCGCCTTTCTGCTTCTCAAAGTTTTGCCTCCTTTTCATATCTTGTGTCAGCTTCTAAGCATAGTTACTAGGCGGCTAATGCAGTAAAAATAATTCTACCCTTTTTCTTAATTTATCATGTCTCAGTCAAGTTTCAGGTTAAACCCTTGATCATATACACAAGTACAAAGAGTGAAGAATCTCTCTTAGCTGCTTTACAACCAAACGGTAATCTATTAATACCCTTGTATTCTTATGCCCCCTGAGCTTGTGGTTTCTATATTTACTTTTGATAGTGATACAGATGGTGCAAATGGGATGCCTACTGTGAAGCTTATGAAGAGTTCTATATTTAGCTATGAACAAGCATGGCACAGGTGTAGTATACATTAAAAGTGTCTTCAGCTCGCAATTTCACCTAATTTTTGCTTGTAACTGAAAAGCTAAGTTTATGATGACTGCTTTTGGGGGTCTGTGGATGTATATGCAAGGGACAAGTAAATGACCACTAGTTATATCTACAGATTAGCAAATTTGAATATATGAGTTTATTCACAATGATTCACAGGTATTAGTAACTATTTCTTTAGTCATATTCTTCATATAGCCAAAACTTTGTTTCCATCATTGTTCAATTGAAATTAATTACTTATAAACATCACTTATTGTTTATGTGGAAACGATGAATTTGTAGTAAGCTATAGTTCTGCCAATTAAGAATAATAGAGCGTTCCAAGACCATAGAGGCAAAATATTAGCATCTACGCATTGAAACATAGCTATTTTTTGGGCCGATGGTACCAGCAGAAGTTTAAAAATTAAAAGACGAATTATTATGATCACTTTTCTTTTAGTTGTATCCTTTCATTTAGCATATGCTTTTGTAGATATGTTGTCTTTTGGCCTCTAACTTATCTCTTCGTAATAGTATCTTTATTGTTTTCTCTCATATTTTCATTACACAGATTAGTATATCTCCGGGTATCAGGAATGGATGATGGGTTAAACATCAAAGAAAGAATCTGCTTTGTAAGTTATCACATGATTTTGCCAAGATATCACCCCCTCATAGTTCCATTGTTGGTTTAATGAATATTAGCATGTATTATGCCTTCTTGTACGAGACATCTCTGATAAGCTGATGAGATCGTATGATTGTACTTTTTTCCATTATTCAGGTGGTTTCTGCTCAATTTAGCATTTGAAAAGATTTGTATTTGATTTTATGAACAAGGAATCAAGTATATGTTTCTTCTTTGATGGAAATGGTAGTTTTTGGATCCGTGAATCTTTTTGGTAGCTGACTGAAATTTAGTGTTTAGTGACCACTTGTTTCAGATACTTGGTTTTACAGAGTTTTTAATGGTTCCATCCATATATAATTGTACTGTGACCTGAATCATAATTCTACTTTTTATTTACCTGTAGCTAAGTTCTATGATGGATATTGAGAGTGAAGTTCAAGTTCGTGCCAGTGGAGGGCTTCTTGCCATACTCGAGAACGAAAGAGTGGTGGATACCATTGAACAAAATGAGTGCGGGAGTGTATCAATCACAATCGATTCTGTCATGCAAATCTCATTGTATCTAATCATAATTTTTTCCTCTTTTCATACTAGAATTTGCTGGTTTTGGTTACAATTTTCCCATTTTTCCACAGAAACAACTTCCTTATAGTTGACTCAGCAGCTCACGAGGCATTGCAGATATTCCAAACAGACAAACATCCAAGCCATATGGGTATTGGAAGAGCAAAGGAAGGGTAATCTTCTTCCATTTTCTGATTATCTATCTACCAAACATAAATATTAATATAGGTTCATTTGCAGGTTCTCTGTCTTTGGCATGATGAACAAGGTATGAAGATTGCATTTGCTACTAAGTCTGCCTTATCTTTGAATTCTATCTAATCGTTCTCTATTTTAGTGTGTGACGCCTATGGGTAAACGTCTTCTGAGGTAAGCACATATTTGCAACTTTAAGTTCAGTGATTATAACTTTACGTACAGGTTCATACCGAGGGCATTGGATGAATTGTTTTCTCTGTAATAGGACATGGTTTCTCAGGCCCATACTTGACCTCGACAACTTGAATGGTCGTCTTAATGTTGTATCCTATCTAATTACAATGACTTCATATTTTTACAATATTGCTTGTTTTCTTTAATAGATTCAGATATCATTCTTTGTTTCATCTGATGAATTGTTGACCTCTTTACGTGATACACTGAAATTTGTTAAGGATGTGCCCCACATACTGAAGGTGCAACACTATCTTTTTTTTTCTTTGATCACATTTTCATTGTTTTTATGAATATTTGCATTTTGTTATAATCTGCTCGTACCTGTGAAAACCAAAATAATGTGCAATGATTCAAGAGTTCTGGTTTTGTTTTGCAGTTATTTTGCTGTTGTAGTCCACTATAGCTAGTGTCTTCTGGTCTCTAGACTCTACTTTTACTTATAGCTGTTATTTTGGTATTTTATCTCTGCACGGTAATCATTTTTCTATATCTTGATCATATAATCTTTTTGTTTATCCTTTTCATGGAAGAAATTCAACTCCCCGAGCTCAGTATGTACCTGTGGTGATTGGACTGCTTTTTTGAAGGTAGTGTTTGCTCTCCCATTTCATCCTTCTTGTAAAGTTCCACTCTAATCATTAGCATGATCTATAGTGCTCAAATGTATCCTTTGTTGGCGTCTTATCCTGATGTTTTGGGGGTTTAACAAATGCTTATGTCTTGGTGAAGCATAATATGTCGTTATTTTGTTAAAGTCTGCATCTTTAGTCATAAATTTCAGGTTAACTATGTAATGAACTAATTGACATTTATGTATCTATTTTTAATTTGTTGATTATTTGACATGCATGTTAAATATTTGTTGATTATTTGACATGCATGTTAAATGATAATGATTGTTGCTTATACATATTACTACCTTATCTTGTAGAGCCTTTCTGCACTCCTGCATATCAACAAGATATTTGAACTAGGAATTTCTGAAAATCTTCAGGAGCATGTTAACAATTTAAGTATACATATTGTTGAGAAGGTATTAAATTATTTTTCCCGTTGTGGTAAGATTGGAGTTTCTTGTAATTTGTTTTCATGCCGTCAAGGTTTTAAAAGGTGGAACCGGGCCTCGAGGCGGTCCGAAGCGTAAGCCCCGAGGTGGAAATATATGTACACCAAAATATGTATATATACTACAGAAATATATACATTTATGTACAACATATATAATACTAAATACTAAGAGCACTGGTTCAGTGGTTCTTGACCGAGTGAAGAGTGAAACTGTGAGATAGGTTGAGAGGTAGGCTGAGAGGGTGTGGAAAAATTGGTTGCTTGGAGGAAGAGGAAGGGTCAATCCACACTTTTTGATTGAGTGGAGAAAGTACTAGCTTTTTGGGTTTTAAAATATTAAAAGTACACAGTGAGGTCATTGATCTATGACTTTTAGCTTTTTAAAATAAAAAAGGACACATATACTATAAAGAGGAGTACTATTACTGTCATAAAACTTGTAAAAAAGCCAAAAACCCATTATCAAAGCAGATCTGAGGTGTCCGCCTCGACACCGCCTCACGCCTCACTGAACCAGGCATAAGCCTCGTCCAGGGTCCAAGAGGCGCCGCCTCAGGTGCGGTTTTGGGCTGCCTCACATGCTTTTTAGAACTATGCATGCCGGTGCTTTAGTTGCCAGGCTATTAATTCCCTTTTGAGTTCTGACAGGCTGCTTCATGCATCTCAATGGATTTGGCTTATGTATATGAACTGGTTAGTTACCTTCTTTCTTTTGGCTGTGTTCATTCTTTTCATTCTGAAATCTCATAGCTAAGGTGTTCCATAGATTTCTTTTTCTAATTCTTGCTCTCCACGACGTACTCTCTCCCCTATTCTTTTCTCTATGCTGATTTATTGTTATATCTGTAGGTAATCGGTGTTATTGATGTAAATAGAAGTAAAGACAAAGGTTATGAGACAACGGTGAAAGATGGCTTCTGTGATGAGGTTAAGGACATGATAAGTGGATTTTATTAAGCTCACATCATATGCTCTTCCTTTCTGTCGTTTCACTTCTTTATGCATATGTTCCATTCTCTCGAGTCTTGACAATTTTGTTTATAACCAAATGTAGTTGGATGAGCTGAGGCAAATATATGAAGAATTGCCAGAATTTTTAGAGGAGGTGCTATTAGTTCCCATTATGAACGGTGTCTCTTACGTGTTTTTTGAGTATCCAACATGCTTATCTGATTATACAACTGCTTTAACAGAATCATCATTGGAACTTGAAAGAAAAATATCAATAGAGGAAGCTTAGTGTATCTATTGTGCTAATCTGTTTATATCACTGCTTTAACAGGTATCAGCATTGGAACTTGCACGTCTTCCTTACATGTCTAGAAACAAATTGCTTCCACAAATTGTTTATATAAGTCAAATAGGTCCGTTTAACTTCTTTACCATGTTTCGTATTCCTTAGGTTCATTTGGGATAAGTTGCTCACTTTAGCAATACTATTAATATCATACATATTCGACATCTTGGTTATGAGTTTTGAAATTGAGAACGTTCTCTGCATGTGCTTACGATCTATATTACTGTTTCCAAAAAGGATACTTGATGTGCTTTTTTGAAGAAAAGCCTGATGAGTTTATTTTAGAGAAACTTGAAGACTATGAATTTGCTGTAAGTTGGTTGCTTATTATTCAAGCATATCCTGTATATGAATGTGTTTTTTGACCTACATTAGAAAACTGTGTTCTATTTAATAGTTCTCTGAAGAAGATGGCGATGTTAGAAAGTTTTACTACCGCAATGCTAAGACACGAGAATTAGACAGCCTTTTAGGAGACATATATCATAAAATCTTGGGTATGTGATCTTAAAAGTAAACCAATTCTTTAATGTGTTTTTGATGAAATTGTTATTCGCTAATACATTCTGGGAACCATCCAGTTGCATTAGTGTACAGAGCCATTGGTGCTGTTCATTTTCTATATCTGTATTCTGAGTTAAGGAATATGCAACTTTTGGAATTAAGTTGATTTATCTTAATATGATCCTCATAAACAAGTTTTTGTTTCTTTTTTGTATTGACTTTTAACTTTTCTAAGATATGGAGAGAGCTATCACAAGGGACTTAGTGTCACATATTCTTGAGTTCTCGATGCATCTACTCAAGGGAATCAATTTTGCAGCAGAACTTGACTGGTCAGATATGTTCTTAATTGGTTGTTCCTTTTGTTTTCATTTTTCCAGAAGTTTCTTTAACATGGTTTTTATTGTATTTACTCATGGCTACGTAGCTTTTTGTCATTGGCATTGGTTGCTCGTCAGAACAATTATGTAAGGCCCACACTAACTGCTGAAACTGTGCTTGATATTCGGAACGGGAGGTCAGAATTTTATTTTATACTCGGAATGTATCTCATTTCCTTCTGCTGTTTCGGAAAAAAATATTACTCTCCATGCTGCATTCATATGCATTTATGTAGGCAGTAACAAGTACTTCTCTGTGATCAGACATGTTTTGCAGGAAATGACAGTTGACACATTTATCCCTAATGATACAAAGATCATCGATTATGGTATATTACTGTTACCTTTATTTATTGGTTCTTGGTTAAGTTGGCTTTTGACACTGCTAAGAACATCATCGTGCTCATTCTTTTACTAGTTCTTTAAACTACGTTTTCAGGGAATATTCACATCATTACTGGACCTAATTATTCAGGCAAAAGCATATATATAAAGCAGGTTGTTCCTAATTACTTTGCTTCTATCTGAATCTTTTTCATCATAAACTTGCCACATGGAGTCCAATAAAATCCTGCTGGAACATCCTCTGTCACAAAAATCAAAATTTATTGAAATTTATCCAAAGGTCATAATTCCTACAGCCATAACCACTCGCTACGTTGTCAAAGAAAACCATCCACAATGGTAAGCTAAACACCCCCTAAAGAAACCATCCCGCTGCTAATTTTTTCTGCTCATTTGGGTTTGTGTTGTCCTTTGGGTGGGTCATGGAGTCTTTGAAGGGCTTCTATGAATGGTTTGGTATGTGCATCTAATCTGCTGCTTGTTATTTAGTTTCAGGTCACACCAATCATCATTACTGTTAGAAGCTACGGATGAAGAAAAATGGAGAATGTCATATCCATCAACCTTGAATAAAATCTAAAGATAGTCCACATGGGAGAGGACCAAACTTAAGTACAATAACTCATAACTGCTATCTTGAGAAGAAAACAACTAGAGTATTTAAACTACTAAGAACTAAGGGGCTGTTTGGTTGTTTTTCATCAAGTCTTGTATGGATAAAGCTATCTGTGTGGATTAATCTGTCTATGTAGATTGGAAAGGGTTTTTTTTTTTTTGGGAGAGGCTTTTCATAGATGGAATGAGCATGTTTTTAATTTGGAATGGCAGGTTTGGAAAAAACTTGGCTTTTGGCACAAAGCTCCCCCCTAGAAGCTTATTGAATTAGCCACTTTTTATATCATTAAGCCACTACCAAAAAGTCATGTATAGCTGACAGAATAAGCTGCGAGTCCCATTAAGTTCATTATGCTGCTAACAAACAGGCCCTAAAAGTTTTCTAGGATTAACAAAATAAAATGGAAGTTGGAGTAAGGTAGCTGCAGATATTCCTGGATTTATGGAAGACCAAGAACTCTTATTGACCACTTCATTGCTGCGTTTTTCCATGTTCATTTGATGCCTTATTTTTCTTTTTAGAATAAATCTTTTAGGGGGGATGTTGTATCAATCACATATCACATGACCAATTACTTTGTTGATTTTTTAATATACCAATGGCATTGTCATTTTGATTGTAGGTAGCACTGATAGTTTTTCTTGCTCACGTTGGAAGTTTTGTACCAGCAGATACCGCCAAAGTGGGTTTAACTGATAGGTTGGATGCCTTTTACCCTTTTACCTTTATTTTCAATCTTGAAATGCATTTACTGATGTACGGTTGCCACCATAAATGACAAATCATAGAATTTTCTGTGCCATGGGAAGCAAGGTTATGACTGCTGAACAATCCACATTTATGATTGATCTACACCAAGTCGGAATGATGCTAAGGTATCTTTTATGTAGTTCACGGAGGTCTCAGAAGTTAGCAAATAGTGAAGAGATCATACATAAGAATTTGATCATTTTATGCTAGAAACTGTAACCAATCATGGCTAATTTGTTGAAGTTCATATTGATGTAAAAACTTTCAAGGCATGCTACTTCTCGATCATTATGTTTACTAGACGAATTTGGCAAGGGAACTCTAACTGAAGGTTAGCTGTTGAGGAATAGTGTGTCTAATGCTCTTTCTTTAGATGATTTTATATTGTATGCTAACAATGCCACTATTTCCTTTTTAGATGGTATTGGGCTCCTCGGTGGAACTATTGATTACTTTACCTCAATGCATGCCCCTCCAAAGGTTTGCTACTCTTCCCTGGTTGACAATCATTGTGATGATATAAACTTACTTAAAATGGTAACAGAGGCCACCTTTATTCGGCAACAATTGTGCTTCACTGGCTTTCTTGATTATGCAAAGGTGTTGATCGAGCCTTACTTAATCCACACCCTTGTCCATCAACTGCCTCTTCATCCTTGTAGATTTTCTGCTTATATTTATCACTATACCTGAGGATATGATCTTAAGTTCTCTTCTCCATAGTAGTTCCCGTCTATTTAGGGTACATGTAAGCTTTTCATGCTCTTGACACTCTTGCATTAATCTTCGATCACAACAATTGCTTGCTATTGTTAATAACTGTGAGAATATGTGGAAGCCCCATGTCACTCTCCAAAGAGCCCCTGAGGAGAAAGGGGAGGTTCCAACACACACACACATATAAGAGAATTGTCCAAGTCTACCCGATATGGGACTCCAACAGAGGCTAGATGGAAACAAATTGTCCCAGGGTGTTGAGTCGGGGTTAGCCAGAGTGGCAAACCTTTTGACTCTGATACCATGTGAAAATATGTGGAAGTCCCAAATCACTCTCCAAAAGAGCCCTTGAGGAGAAAGGGGATGTTCCAACACACACACACACATATATAGGAAGGATCAAACAAGAACGGTACCTATTTAAAAGAACACGAAAATGGGCGAATCACATGTGATTTTACACTAACATCACATACAGAATCACATGTGATTTAGGCGACCTTGCCCAGCAACCTGAAGACGCAGCCACAAGTCATCCGGATATTTTTTTTTGACCATCAATGTAAAATCACATGTTGTTTTGCACGTGATTTTCACGTTTTCAATTTTTTAAATATGTACCGTTCTTGTTTGATCCTGCCTCTATATATATATATATAGGAAAATTGGTCCCAATCTAGCCAATGTGGGACTCCAACAATAACCATTTTATGTAAGAAGGAATCGACCTCTAAGCACTCATCCTTTGCTAATTCCCTGTTGGTTGTTAAAGGTCATGGTTCAGTTATTGCAGTGATGAAAATCCTTTTCTTTTTAATCCTGAAGTTGAAAAGAATTTAGATAGATATTTCAGCATTTCATGAACCATCTACCATTTTCTTGATGTACCTTGTGTGAGATTTTTCACGCTCATAAACTTACTGTGCAGGTTCTAATTTGCACTCACTTGACCCAAATATTTGCTGATAGTCATTTATCTGAGGTATGCAATAAAATAACTTGAAAGCGTTAAAGATTCTTGTCATATTCATGTCTGATGAGTTATTATGTCTTAATCATTGATAAACGTCAGTCGAACAAAGTCAAATACTACACCATGAGCGTGCTAAGACCCGACAACAATAGTGAGGACATTGAGGAAATTGTATTTCTATATAGGTAAATAAACGATACCTTAAACCCATGTTATTATTATGTGTTCATATTCTAGTATGACAATAACCATCTTTTGAAAGGAAAAATCGCTCTAGATGTTTGGGCCTTTCATTTATGACCTCATGCAAGACCGGAAGCATTTGTGTTTAAATTCACGGGTGTTCAAAATGCCACACAAACATAATCCGCCCTCACTACACAAACCATGTGGTTTAGAACTTCCGGGTACATTTTGCGGTTTGTATCTTTTATGCCGTACTATGCGGTTTGGTTAGCAGTTTTGAACTACACAAACCATGATTCAAATCCACCGCACCGCATATTAACATTCAAATTTATATATGTAGTTGTTATAATATAATATCTTTTTATTAATTAAAAAAATATTTATATGACCAAATAAATTACTAATGTTTCAGACTTTTCAGTAAAGTGGCTGAGATTTACTGTTCCAAAATACATACAGGAGAAATTAGGAAACATTATATACTTGGCTTTCTGCATTAAGCTCCCCCTAGAAGCTTACTGAATATGTAACTTTCTATATCATTAAGCCACTACCAAACAATCATATATAGTTGACCAAATAAGCTGTGAGTTTCATTAAGCTCATTAAGCTGCTAACAATTAAACAAGCCCTACACAAACTAACGTGGAATGTGTTTCTTAGTTATAATAAACAATTAGTTTAAGATCTAATAATATGGTTACCTCCAATTTCAGCCTGGAATTTTAATCAACTTCCTAACTGTGTATGCATTGTGTTCGGCTACTCCTCTTTTGATTTCTACCAATTTTTGTAGGGTTTTTGTTCTCAATGGTATACAAACCGAACGTATCGACATACCTAATTACCGTAGGAGTATAGTTGAAAATTTTGGCCCTAAAATTACTTATATTGTTTCCAAAAAAGAGTTATTACAGTTCTCTTGCACTACAACTAAATTTTCTTTTCTTATATGTGTTAGGCTGGTTCCCGGACATGCACTTCTTAGCTATGGTCAGTTAGTATTGGCTATTCACCTTCTGTAAACAAATTTGTGTTAATGTCGCTCACGCCAATTCTCTTTTGCAGGACTACACTGCGCCCTACTTGCCGGTATGTTTCAAATATATCACCTCAAAATAAGAAATCTGCTGAAGTTAATCCAAAGATCAAATATTGTCCAATATCACTTCATTAATTACCAAGGGGCTGTTTACCAAACACTTATCCGATAAGCGCTTACTGGTAACATTTAACACTATCACTTACTTACCGGGTAAGATTTTAGTCCCTCGTATGCAATAATTTACCCGGTAAGTGCTAACCATGGTAAGAGTCGTCCCCTTCACTTACCGGGTAAGACTCTTGGTTCTTGCCTCTCTCTTACTGGGTAAGATTATTGGTCCTTGCCGTACTCACCCGGTAAGGTAATGTGACTTACCAAAGGGCCTTTGGCCTAGCGGTATCGTAGCCCTTGGCTTTCTAGGAGGTCAGGGGTTCAAACCTCACCATAGGTGAGAAGGGTGTGTGAGTTTATTTGTTGTATTTGCCGTATATAAATATTATATACTTCAAAAAAAAAGATAATGTGACTTGGTAAGCGCTTACCCAGGTAAGCGTTTGGTAACAGCCCCTAAGATACTTTTCCGAGATTTGAAGACAGTAAACAAATTTTTTCTGATAGAAAACTGAAACTAACAACTATACCCAGACTTCATCTTGGGAAAGTGCATGAATTCAAGCCAGTAGATAATGGAAAGTAATGCGTTTCTTTCTGATCACATTAGCTTTGCAATCAGTGACGTTCCAATCTTTTTGGAAGTTCTGTTACACCTAAAACTTTTGATTACACTGCAAAATGAGATTATAAAGACACATATTTACAAATTATAGAGGTGATGATAAAGCATATTACTTTTGTTTTCTGATAGAAATTAGAGTGGCACTAAGGGTGCACTATAGTTTTTACATTCGTTGATGAAAGACCCTAAATAATGTAAAATTAGGCCACAAATTTTTTGTGGCGCTGTCCAAAATAACAGAATCAACATGCTAAAAAACGGGATTGCTTGCAATATTATATAATCTTGTAGGTGTTCCTCAAGAAGTGATAAGGAGAGCAACATTTGTCTTGGATGCTACCACCAAAGGCGTTCATATGGACCGAGATTGTAACGAAAAGATATCAGCTCAAGATGAGCAATATAAGGTGTTATATTCATTTAGTAAGATTATTATATATATATATATATATATATATATATATATATATATATATGGAAAATCAAATACAAACTTGCAAATGTTGCACAACTTACAGACCAATCTTGACCCTTGATTTTGTGTATTTTGAAAATTATAGGCGGTTATCAAATGAGTTAGAGATAAGGTTGAGAGAATTTTTTTTGGAACCGATTTATCCACATCGTTGACATTGATTTGATAATCTGCACGGACGGTTAAGATTGGTTTGTAAGGTGTGCAACATTTACTTAGTTTGTATTTGAAGTGACCTATATATAGGATATGATCAGGTTCAGGGGAAAACCAAGAAGAAATGGAAAACCGAAGAACATCCTGGTAATTATTCATATAGATAGTATGCACATGTGCATACAAGTAATTTGTAAGCAATTTGTCTGATATACATATGAGCATAACATTCACAGATGCATAGAAATCAAGAAACAACTTCAATTACTCATGCACATGCACATATCATACAACTGAATGGTTACCAGAATGTTACCTCATCTTTTTTGAGTTTTCCACCTAACCTCCCTCTCCCTATATACATAATACACACAAACATACATTGGGTTTATCTGTTTTGTTCATATAAAACTATAACCATCTGAACTAAATGGCAGGATGCCATGGAGAAAATGGTAGCTTTCGATGCTATTAATGGTGATCTGGCGCTGTTCTTTCAAGATATTTTTCCTGGTGAACCTTAAAACCTACTTCTCTATAAGTGAAAAACACACATCAAAACAGAAGCAGTCGATAACCTAATGAATTGAACTCCAGGCTGAAAAACATTAATGATTACACTATATTGTCTCACTCATCAAACCAGAAATGCGTACTTTTTGGTCCACGACAATAGGTGGAGCAGATAGACCAGAACGGTGAAATACTAAATTAATAATATCAAATTTAAACCCCAACACCTTTGGGCTGAAAGGGTAATTGGGTCAACATCAAAAACCGAAAGGTTAAACAACCATTCTGGTAGAATTGGGTCAACATAAAAAACATTACAAATGATATATATATCACCAATTCTCTTAGCCGCCATCCATTTGGGTTGAAAGGACTTGAAAACTTTAAAGAGAAAATGGACTACAAAGTGATTTATCGTTGCTTTTGTTTAATTTTTGGAATTCAACTTTAATTTACTTGGATTATTTTTTCTTTATATAAATGATAATCTTCGTTTTTTTTAAGGGTAGATCAATGGAGTTCACATATTTTCACACAAATATCATCAAATTCATCTGCATCAGTCACTGATTTGGTTAAAAAGAAGATGATGACAGGGAATGAACCAAGAGAATGGGTGTTTACAATTCCAAACTTAAACACGACAGTTACTTGCGATTTGGTTCACCGTTATCTAAATTTATAAACAATATCATTTATAATATAAAAATAATACTAAAATAGAACATTCAAACAATTTACACAACGACTAAAGAGAAATAATTCAAGCGATCATAAAGATTATAACCGTAACAAATTGAATATCAAACTGGACAAAATCTATTATAAACTAGTATGGGAACCGCGCGTTGCGCGGTAGTATGAGTACTTTGATTAATGATATGATGATTGTCTATATAAATATATATTAATTGTTAATAGAATCATCAACAAATCATATTCAAATAATTCGAAAAAGTTAAATAAAATATAGTTAGTGAAATTTTAATATACACACACATATATATATTGAGAGAGAGATTTGTTTAGTAATAAAATTGTAAAACTAAATAAAATGAGTAATAATAACGACGGAAATATTAAGGAATTTGACACAAATTTAAGAATATAAAATACTCCACATAAAGATATGTCTCCTTCAAAGGATGATGTATATGTACTATTTTTCATCTTCAACACGTACCTTGACTTTAAAAACACAATAATGAATGGACCGGACCAACCATACGATATGTAAAGAATCACATACCAAACTTAAAGACTTCAAATCTTTATAACCCAATAGATAAAATTATAATGCAATCAAAATCATAACATGAACATACATAAAATTATAATACAACTAAACTTACGATAAGAACATACTTAAAAATATAATCCAATCAAAATCATGATACAAACATACATAACATT